CTAGAAACCCAGATCTATGCATGGCATGAGCTGGATTCGAGCAAAATCGAGTATAGAGTATTTGCATGTGAAAGACTCGGCGAGTCGTTCATCGGACTCGAAGAATCAAGTCACGAGTCCCCGAGTTTTCCCCCTTTTCGTGTTTGCGGAGTGGAGTAGTGAATCATGGGGTGTGACTCAGTGAGTCGGAAGCCAGACTCACCCATGAAGGAACTCGGCGAGTCAATGCCCTGACTCGGCGAGTCCAAAGAAATCTTCTTGCCTCAAGAACAGACTTGGCGAGTTGTTCATACAACTCAGCGAGTCTCAACGTGGAGTATTCTTCGGATGAAGATGAACTCGACGAGTTGTTCATACAACTCGGCGAGTAGGATGAAGGACTATTGGACTTTGGTTTAGAAGGAAAACTTGTTGAGTCAATTCCTAACGCGACGAGTAGAGACGGGATTATGGTCAGACAAAGGGATAAGGACTCAGCGAGTTGGCAGGCCAACTCGGCGAGTCGGGTCAACTGGAAGTTGACTTTGACTTTGACTCTTGGCTTGGTTAGGGGTAAATGGTCATTTTACCCTGAGGTCGATTAGCAGTATTTGACTGAGTGTTTTGTGGGGATTATAGCCGGAGGATTTCCGGGGCAGCAGCAGAAGAAGACAATCAGTTCCCACGCATATCAGCAGCTACTATAAGGTGAGTTACCTTCCAGTAGCGGTGGGTCTACGGCCACAATGTCGTCCCACCAGTAGGAGTTGTATGATAGATGATTGTCTCTGTGATATTCATTTAAGGTTGCTACTACAAGTGATATGTTTTTGTGCTAGTATGATATGATGTTATGTGCTAGTGAAAACAGGGGGGAGATAGTCTGCCAGATTACCAGTCGATAGGGCCGAAGGGGTGGTCATGCCCAGCCATGCTAGATAGATTACCTGATATATGTGTTATGTGGTAGTAGTAGGGGTGAAATAGTCCCCAGTACCCGGTCGAGAGGACGGAAGGGGATACCAGCACCCATATATGCTAGTCAGTATCCGGTCGAGAGGATCGAAGGGGAGACAAGCTCCCAGATATACTGGTCAGTATCCGGTCCAGAGGACCGAAGGGGAGACTAGCTCCCAGATATACTAGACAGTATCCAGTCGAGAGGACCGAAAGGGTAGGTCGGGCACCCAAATATGTCTGACAATATATGAATGTTATGTGTGTGGTTTTTCTTTTTTCAGGTTGACAAGATACTTTCTTGATTTCTTCAGGGCACGTGGCTTTAAAAGATTTATTGATGATTTTGCAAAGAAGGCAAACATTGATGAAAAACAACGTATTATACTATATAAGCACTTTACATTTTCCATCTAGTTTTCGTCTGATCGTTATATTTTCTTGAAAAGTTAGTCTTTTAGTTTTGTCTTCAAAAGTATATCCAATTTTTATAATTCCGTTTAACAGCGCTTGATGGATTATACATGGAATATTGGGGGTTGTGGTTGGAAAGATACAAACATATACCTTATTGGACCTTTTTTTGTCGGAAAAAGCTCAAAGCACTCAAAAAACTATCTTTGCAGGTGATCTCTTAGAAGAAAGCGGTTTTACTTAGTTATGTTTTGTAGGAGTTGGTGCTTCTAAATTCTCATATTTCTTATATTTTTACATACAACCACAAATCAGCAACCAATGAGTGACAATCAATCAAGCCTTGGGGAATCATATACGAGCACGACTAGGTAACTTGTAACACATCTTTAACGATAAAAATGTTATAAAACGGGTAAATTAATCAAGTATTTTGATATTATACAAAATACTAAGGTGATATAGCTTTTAATTGTTAACAGAACACATTTTCCCCCTCAAGATAGTGGCCATTCAAAACTAAGAACATCTTTGGATTCAGGTTTGCTAAAATTTCATGTCTCCCTATTTTATAAGTATATTTTTAGGTGGGACAAAAAATTACAATTTTCGTCCCTTTAACATCAAACCAGTCATGTCTTATGTAACAAACAAAAAGTGAATTAATGGTACTCTTTAACTATGCTCCATTTGCCAATTAAGGTTATATTATCAAGTTACCATGCTCCATTTGCTAATTAGGGTTATATCATCAAGTTACCGATGATTTATCCATATAATCCTTTTTGTTTTTACTTTCCAGGCATGATCACTCGTCTGCAAGTAATTTTAGTAAATATTTGAGTCATTTTAAAATTATTTTTGTAAGCATATTGGTCTGTAGATTTTGTTGTTACATGTGTGTGTGATTTTGTTTTTGACAGGGTGGTGAACATCGTTTTTGGTTACATATCTTTCGTCGGACGTCCATATTGATGATATGTTCAAAAAACCAGAAACAAATGAACAACCACATGGTATATATATATATATATATATATATATATATATATATATATATATATATATATATATATATATATATATATATATATATATATATATATATCTTGACGCATTGCATTTAATTTAGTTGAGACTTTTTTTTGATTAATCAAGTGTTTTTCATAGATCTTATTGGGTTTCATGTTTCATGGGTTATAAATGTTATGTTAATTTTGTCTCAAATAACCAAGGTTGTCTATTATCATGTCGTTTCAACTCGTGTAGAAAATCATGCTTTATATGTTTTTGGTTTACAGCCAATCAATCAAGAAGTACAAGTTCTAACTCCAAATCAAGTAAGTGGTCAAACATTTAAAAGTAAAAAAGCTAACATAAAAACAATTTGAGCGTTTGGTTTATCAAGTAACCGATGATTTACTTTTGTTTTTTGGTTTTCAGTTGCATCCAAAGTAAAGAAAAGACGCAGATGTGTTTTTTCGTTTTCAATTGCATCCAGAGTAAAGAAAAGATGCAGATGCACTGATGTAGTGATGAAAACATGAATATTCAAGGATGAGGGTAGTGAAGTAATACTAAATAATTCTAAAGGGTGCAAAGTGAAAAAGCACAACGGAAAATTAGAGTCGAATTTCATGTTATTTTGTTCCATCCTGTTTAGTATAAATTTTCAAGTCTTTGTGGTTTTTCGATCTGAACTTGTGATTATGTTAAGAACCTTTTTGAAACGAGTCCATGTTCTAATTAAGGTTCCATGTTGTCTTCCATTTTTCCATCGTTCTTTATTGTGTGTGTCTTTTTTAGGGAAAATGACTTGTAAGGGTAACGAAGTATTAGACTTGTACAAAAAAAACCATTGAATTTTTTTTTTTTGTACACATATCACCAATCAACTATAGCTTTTGTATACATATGACCATTAAACTTCACATTTGTTCAAAAAATACCATTATGTTACCGGTAATAGTAGGTCACCAGTCACGTAACATGCCACGTGGCATGCCATGTGGCTGCTGATGTGGATTTTATTGTATATAATTTACACATTATACCATTAAACTATTTTTTGTACACATTATACCATTAAACTTTTTTTTTTTGTGTATATTTTACCATTAAACTTTTTGTACACATTTTACCATTGATCTTATATAATTTATTCAAAAAATATCATTTCAAAAAATACATATTTTTACATAAAATGGATTTTCCATCACCTATTGTGACTCCCTGATTTTGTAAGGTTTGGGGGAAATAGTTTGTTTTTTACAATGATACTAAGGACTTTCTTTTACAACTACATTATGAATTTATGTTGGTCATACATCAACTGAAACCCACGAAGGTTTGAACTTGAAACTTTTATCTGGAGCGGCGAAGAAATACTCAATTGTTCATTATTTTAGCTAATGTCTAGTAAACATATTCTTATAAGTCATTTTCTTAGAAAACTACGTTTGAGGCATACTTATAAACTCATGAAACATTTTGTACATGTTACCTTATTATAATCCCCCCCCCCCCTCTTCTTGATTATGGTTGATGATTAAAAAAATGCATTGAAATTATAACGTTGTTTACCGATAGGAAAATAACTTATAATGATAAGTTTACTAAAATTTAGAAAATCAGTAAAATCCACATCAGGTGATGGGAAACCTACTTTTATGTAATGATATGTATTTTTTAAAATGATATTTTTTTCAATAAATTATATAACATTAATGGTAAAATGTGTACAAAAAAAATAACTAATGGTAAAATGTGTACAAAAAAAATTAATGGTATAATGTGTACAAAAAATAGTTTAATGGTATAATGTGTACATAATAAACAGTAAAATCCGCGTCAACAACCACATGGCATGCCACGTAGCATGCTACATGGCTAATGACCTATTATTATTGGTAATATAATGGTATTTTTTGAACAAATGTGAAGTTTAATGGTCATATGTGTACAAAAGCTATAGTTGATTAGTGATATGTGTACAAAAAAAAGTTCAATTGTATTTTTTGTACAAATCTAATACTTTGTTACCCTTACAAGTCATTTTCCTGTCTTTTTTAAAAATAACATTTGAAGTATAATCTCCTAATAAGAAATTGGAAGTACATTATAAATTGTAATGCCTTGATTAAAAAAAAAAAACATTTTTCTAATACAAAAGAAATAAAAATAGGATGCTATAATACTCAAATAAATGAAAGTATGTTGCTAATTCTTGCAGTTAGAAGAAATATAAATAAGTACAAATTTGTAACAAGTTACTAAGAACTCGTGTATAAATAGATGTTTTTAATTTAACATTTTTATCTATAACAAGCATTTGTATTTGTAATTACTATATATTATGTTTGATTTATAACAACTCTAAGATAAAGTCATATTAAGATCACCATTACTTCTAGCGAGATAAGTAAAATAGTAAAATACTAGTTTACCATAACTCAAAAAGGGTTAATTATATTGAAAAATGAAAGCACTTAATATTATTATCATACATCATTTATCCATTCAACATTTCAATGGAAAAAAAAAATTAAACACTTAATATTATTAACATACATCATTTATACATTAAACACTTAAATCTGCTAAGTCAAAAAGAAGTGGCACTGGCACATTGCTTCTTTGGATACTGAAGTTTACGCAATGATTGTTGATAGTTTCCACATACTAAAGAAATAACAAACAAAGCACAACAAATTTCCCTTTTTTCTCAAGAAAACACAATATATAATGGAAGTTAGATACTTACTATAACTCCGTTTTCCCAGTTGTAGAAGAGTATTGTAAAGCTAAATCTTTTAGTATTTGAATCACACCCTTTAAATCACTGCTACCCAATTCAAGGCAATCCTTTAGCAACCCACCATCCACAATTTCTGCTTGTATCATCTCAACTGCATCCTTCAATGGACCCTGCATTCGTATCCACATCTTATTTCAGTTTCAGTTGTTGATTTCACATGACATTTACAATCTCAATTTTGGAAAATGTTGGAAGATTTATGATTTCACATAACATTTACAATCTCAAAATTGGAAAATGTTAGAAAGATTTATGAACAATCGAAGTGAATGAATCTAAATTCAGGTCACCAAAACCAATTGAGAAGTATATAGTGATAAAATGATGAAATTATGTAAAAATGTAAGTTTAAAATGTGTCAAAAAACTAACCGATCGACTGAAAACTCTGAGTAAGCGATTGAAGAGGGACTTGGAAACTGTGAGCACGCTACCATAGTTCCGACGCACCCACGCTACCCGCTCTGCCTCCGATTCCATCCGAGTCAACTCAGTCAAACCCCTAATCAATTCGCTCATATCGGACACAGCACCGAACATTTCAGAGGACGTTATTCCGATGTCTCGCCATGCGTAGTTTTTCATGTAGTCCCAGCCAAGAGACCACATGACTCCATAGAAGCTAAACCCATGGCTGTGTTTCTCGATCTTCTGGGCTATGGATCTGGCCCTTAGTGACCCGGAAATGTCACCTCGGGAGGCGCGTAGGTTGGCGACGCGGGTGAGGAGAGAGTCGGACAGAGAAAAGAGGGCGTGGAAGGAGGTGGTGGGGATGGGGAAGGAGCAAGAGAGCGGAGGTGTGGTGAGTAGGATGAGGGTTAGGAGGTGGAGGAGCACCGGCGAGAATTTTGGCGTTCCGATGGCCATGGGTTTTGCTTAGGGCGGGGGGTTGATACTTTGAAAAACTTAAACACATAAAAGAAGGAATATGATTTACGAAGGTAATTAACTTTTCGGTATGTTCACATCTGGGTAACTATTTTTTTTTTTTTTACACATTTGGATAACAAACTTGTAGGAAGTGTTCACATATAACCATTATGACCTGCTATAGGAGGTTAAATCGTAGATGTAAACGCTTTCAAAAAGTTCGTTACCTAAATGTGTAAAAAAAAATAGTTGTATGAACAAAACGAAAAGTAAAAATTAAATTACACGAATGGTCCCTGTAGTTTGAGGAAATTTGTATTTTTGGTCCCTAACTTATTTTTTTAACTTGGATGGTCCCTACTATTTGTTTTTGTTGCGCGTTTGGTCCCTGTCTTACCCAAAAAGACTATTGTGCCCTTATTAATTTATTTTTTAATTAATTTTCTTATTTATGTATTTATTTTTTACATATTTAAAAAACATTAATAGACCACACATATTTGTATCTCCTCGGATGATCCCTACTATTTATTTTTTAATTAATTTATTTTTTTAACTCAGATAGTTTCTACTGTTTAATTTTGTTACGAGCTTGGTCTATGTCTTACCTAAAAAGACTATTATGCCCTTATTAATTTATTTTTTTAAATAATTTTCTTGTTTATGTACTTATACTTTATGTATTTAAGAAAAAATAGTAGACCCCGCATTAATGTATCTCCTCACCATTCTGTCTCTCATCCTTCTCAGCTTCTATTTATTTTCCATTTTTAGTGATATCGACGTCTTCATCGTCACTTCTTTTTTCGGTCCTTTAACTCTGTCGAATCAATACCACAACCCACTAATGATGAAGAGACTGTAGGTTATGGTGTTGGTTCGCTAGAGTTAAAGTACCAAAAAAAGAATGATGGTGAAGACGTCGATGTTACTAAAGATGGAAAAGAAATAGAAGTCTGGGAGGATAAGAGATGAGAAGGTGACCGGTAAAACTCAAATTAAAATTTTCAAATGTGGTTTGAGGATTACGGTGAGGAGATACAGATATGTGGGGTATATTAATTTTTTTAAATATATAAAAAATAAATATATGAATAAGAAAATTAATTAAAAACAATTAATAAGGGCAAAATAGTCTTTTTAGGTAAGACATGAACCAAACGCGTAACAAAAATAAACAGTAGAGCCCTTCCGAGTTAAAAAAATAAATTAATTAAAAAAATAAACAGTAGGGTGGTCTATTAATTTTTTTAAATATACAAAAAATAAATAGATAAATAAGAAAATTAATTAAAAAATAAATTAATAAGGTACAATAGTCTCATTAGGTAAGACAGGAACCAAACGCGCAACAAAAATAAACAATAAGGATCATCCAAGTTTAAAAAAAATAAGTTAGGGACCAAAAACACAAATTACTCTAAACCATAGGGACCATTCGTGTGATTTATTTTTTACTTTTTCGTTTTGTTCATATTTAGGTAACTATTTTTTTGTACACATCTAGGTAACGAACTTGTTGAAAACGTTTACATCTAGGATTTAACCTGCTATAGCAGGTCATAATGGTTATATGTGAACATTTCCAACAAGTTTGTTACCTAAATGCGTATTAAAAAAAGATAGTTACCCAGATGTGAACATACCGAAAAATTAATTACCTTCATAAATCATATTTCCAAAAGAAAATTTTATTCCCTCGTTTTAATACCCAAAGGCGGTTAGGTGATAAATGTGGGTGTTATCACTTATCACAATTGAACCATGATGTAGTGTTCAAAGGTTGACTAACGAATTGCTCCAAAAACTTTAATCTTGTGTTGGTAGTATTTATTAAAAAAACAAATTAAAGCTTTATTGTGACAACAACAGCCGAGTGATGATGACCTAGTATGATTATAAGATCTTGTATGATTATAAAAGAAAATCATTAGGAATGTTCTAAGATATTTGTTTCGTGAGCAAACTTCAATAATCAAGTCAACTCATATAAGAATATGTAACTTTCATTCCACTCAGGGAGCCGACTATCTAGAAAGAATAATGTATGTTTTAAGAATAAACTATCAACTAGTAGACAGATGTGTGTATTTATAAAGCCCAAATTCTCTCTAGTAATGAAAGCTTTTTTTTTTTTTTTTTTTTTTTTTTTTTTTTTTTTTTTATCACACTCTCATTCAATTTGTCAAATGTTATTTTTAGGTTATTTTGAATTAATGTAAAACGATCTAATTTTGTGAAACCGTGAGACCACTTTTTTCTAGTGAATATTCTACTATTCTAATGTTTGTAAAAATTAAATATGTGTAATATTTTAATATTCTAAGCCAAATTTTAACATATTTTACATTGAAATATTTTAAAACATATAATGCTAGAGTATATTGCATATTTTATTTTTACGAACAATAGAATATTAGAATATTTCACTAAAAAAATTTGATCTTACAGTATCACAAAATCATGTTCGTCTAAAATAAACTCTTATATATATATA